CTATTTGCATATTCAACACTCTATTTGCATATTCAACACTCTATTTGCATATTCAACACTCTATTTGCATATTCAACACTCTCTCTCCTCCCCCCCCAGTTCTGCGCATGCGTTCTGCGCATGCTTCCAGGCCTCATCGTTGTTGCTGGATTGCTGGTGAGTCTATTTGTAGGGGAAAACCACAAAAATCCAGGCGGCCCGTAACTCAGTCCAGGACTTGCAATCAGGATTCTGTGGGCTCGTCTTTGCATGCGAAAGAGGCTAGCGGCAGAGGACAGTGGGGGCGGCTTGCTCAGGAGTAGAGGCGGTGCGAGCGGCTTTAAATTAAAGGTGGAGTGGCAGTTTGAGTATAGGTGGATGGAATAAGCCGTTGAGCTGAATTTCATCCGGGGGAGGTTTTCGCGGAAAATCCTCAACTACATCTACAGTTCCAAAATCGTCCAGTTGTGTGGGACGAGGAGTGGCCATTCAGATACTTAAGCGGCCTTTTTTAAAAAATGAAATCAATGAACTTTCCAGAGGAGCAGTTCCAGCCTGTATATATATAAATAGCTAGTGTGTAGGCGTATCATGGTGTTGGAGAGGCTAGCGGGCCGATTGTATGGAATTGGCCAACGAACAAAGAAACGGCTTGATTTAGGCAGGCTGAGCGGCCAGATAGAGCATCGGGAGAAGCGGTGCAGGCAGTGGCCAAGCTAGTTTGTATTTGTGAAGTGGCCATGCAGCGTGTGCAAGCGGAGCCAGGCGTGCAGGCGGCGAGGCTTCAGAGGAAACAGCAGCAAGCGTGTAGAGTCGAAAGGGAGGCTCTCGGACTTGTAGAGACGGCGGATGCGGCGTCAGACTTGTAGAGGCGGCTGATAGTGCCATAGGGACAGCTGGATGGATGCCATGAGGTGAACGGAAGGCAGTGGCTGCAGGCCCATGCAGGCAGGCGGTTCCAGCCGAGGTTGAGCCTTCGCGGTCTGTGGCTCGTCCTTGAAGTTGGCGTAGACCGGAGGTCTGTGGCTCATCCTTCAAGTTGGCGAAGACCCTAGGCTCCACGGCGTTGGCTACTGCTGCTGCTGAGCGCATGCTGGCCATTGGTTCCGGCAGGTCCTCAACTGCATTTTCAAACGTTTTTTCTGATGCATGCGTGGCCGCGACTGGCTCATTCTTATTTTTTATTCCAGGCTCTGCGGAATCGCGATCCCATCCTCGTCGCCAGTTTTGTGTATTGTGAGGGAAGACGCAGGAGCCATGGAACAGAGAGNAGGAAGATTGGACCATGTGATGGACTTGTGGGTGTGGGGACAAGACCATGAACTTTCAACTGGGTGGAAAACCCAGGAAGCTTTCAGATTCGGCTTTTCCACAGATGTACCAACATCTCTCTCTTATTAAATTGGAACTTTAATGAAAGTTATGTTTGGAACTCTGATTTAATTCTGGATGATATTTGGAATGCTGACATTAACCCGAAATCCCCCCCCCTTTTTTTAAAAAATCTTCCCCTCCTGCAACAGCCGGGACAACTCTCCAAGCCTGAAGGAAATTCGGAATGGCTGCCAGCAGCCCTGCGACCGCAAGCCCAACCTGCCTCTCCGTCTTCTCCACACCAGCCCTGACCTGATGTCCCGGGAGGCTACACTGGCTGAATCCCGCCTCAAGTCCGTCATCGTCACGTCCAACGAGATCCACGTTGAGGTTGAACGCAACAACATGGCCAACCAGAAGATGACCGCCAGCATCGGCAACGACAGCGAGCCCAACCTGATTGACTGTTTGATGGTCAGCCCCACCTGCAGTAGCATTAGCATCGAACTCAGCGCTCAAGCAGACCGTATCCTTGGCTGCTTTGTGGAAATACTCAAGATGCTGTGAGTTGCTCTTCCCCATGACTTTCCAGATAGCCCACATGAGTTTCTTGGGTTCCTACTAGGGAGCACACCCTGTGGCCTTCCTTCTCAATTTCAGCAGGAATCCCACGAAACAAGCAGATAGCATAGTAGTAAATCTAATGCTGTTTCCGGGTGTTGGAAGAGATATCTAGTCCTGCTGGTGGATTTCCCAAATTAGCATGAAGGATGAAAGGGGTCATCTTCATTTGCATGTTGGTTCCTTAGCACATGTTACAGGAAAGATGGAACCTGTGTTTCTTATGCTATTCCCAGCAACTCTTGTTCCATTGGAGGATTATATATAGGGGTGGGCTGCTGGGTGTTCTCGGGGGTCACGGGAGACCCTGTAGCTAACATTCTGTGCAATTTGGAGCACCCCAAATCCGACTCCTAGCTGGCCTCACCCACCCCATCCCACCTCTCCCAGGAGTCCCCATGCGGCCCATTTTTGGATGCATGTAAGTTAAGGGCACGCATGGAGGTTCGGGGAAAGAGAAAAAAGGGCCTACCAAAAATTCGGGAAGGCTGCAAATGGGCCTCCAGAGCCTGGGGAGGCCGTATTCACCCTTCTGGAGTGTGTTTAGAGTGTTTAGAGTGTTTATTATAATTTATAGGCCGCCCTTTTCCCTGAGGGGACTCAGGGCGGCTTACAAAACACAGG